CCTCCTCCTCCTCCGCCTCCTCCCCCTCCTCCTCCTCCTCCTCCTGCAGGCCTCGTTCAGGGGTGATGGAAAGTCGCCGGGCGTGCCTCAAAAGCCTTGCAGCAAGGCAGCGGCCCCCACCCCACCAAAGAGGAGGAACAGCACGCTGTGGTCGGAGACGCTAGACGTCCACCAGAAGGGGACGCTGTCGACGAAGGAGATCAAACGTCAGGAGGTGAGGGTTAACACAGAAACCTGATCACATCCAACTGTTAGAGGAGAAACCTCGGCCGTGCCGCGGTCATGTGACTTCCTGTTCCACGTTCTGTCCTGACGGCTCCTCTTCCTCTTCCTCTTCCTCAGAGGTCAATGTGGTCCAGACAGAAACCTGTAAAAGTAGACCAGACCAGACCAGACCAGACCAGAATGACGGGTTAGAAGGCCATATTCGAGTTGTCCCGTGGAGAACAGGACCTGATCGAGGACCTGCAGCTCGCACGAAAGGTTAGTACCGTTGAACAGTACCGTAGTTCTCAGTGGGAGTTGGTGCGAGGCGACCCGGTGTCGGTGAAGGGCGGACAGGTCGTCCACGCGGCTCAGTCCACGTCTATAAACAGACAGGAATTGTTCCGCGGTCGTCCTCCTGTCGCCCTGAAGCTTTTCACCGGGCTATTCTTAGAACCTCAGAACCTACGTTCTCCCGGTCGACTGGGTTTGATGATGTCGGACCTGTTCCGCCCACAGGCGTATCACGATCCCATGCTGAAGCTGTCCATCATGTCTGAGGAGGAGCTCACGCACATCTTCGGTAACCTGGACGCCTACATCCCCCTTCACGAGGACCTGCTGGCCCAGCTCTCCAAAGCCACGGGGGACGATGGGACGGTGGGACAGATCGGACAGATCGTGGTCAGCTGGGTAGGTGTCCTCTCCACCTGGTCCTCAGAGACACCCGCAGCTCTGACCGGACCAGCGGCTCATTCTAACATCTTCTTCTTCTTCTTCTTCTTCTTCTCCTCCTGCAGCTGCCAAAGCTGAACGCCTACAAGGACTACTGCAGTAACCAGCTGGCCGCCAAGGCCCTGCTGGACCAGAAGAAGCAGGACAGACGGGTGCAGGACTTCCTGCAGCGTTGCCTGGAGTCGCCCTTCAGCAGGACGCTGGACCTGGGGAGCTTCCTGGACATTCCGCGCTCCCGCCTGGTCAAGTACCCGCTGCTGCTGAAGGAGATCTTGAGACACACCCCGGCGGAGCACGACGACGTGGGCAGACTGGAGGAAGCGGTGAGTTCACGGCGGCAGCTTCGCGACGTCGTCGAGTTGTGTGAACGTCTGAGGTGGTAATGACGCGTTTGTTCTCGTTCTGATCCTCAGATCACCATCATCCAGGGAGTTCTGTCCGACATCAACATGAAGAAGGGCGAGTCCGAGTGCCAGTACTACATCGACAAGCTGGAGTACCTGGACGACCGGCAGAGGGACCCTCGGCTGGAGCAGTGCAAGAGCCTGCTGTGTCACGGCGAGCTGCGGAACAAGAGCGGCACGGTGAGCCAAACCAGAAGATGAAAAGAAATGAAACGCTGCTGATGCTAATGCTAATGCTAATGCTAACGTCGACTGTTGATTGTTCGGCAGAAGCTGCACGTGTTCCTGTTTACCGAGCTGCTGGTCCTCACCCGTCCCGTCACCAGAAACGAGCGCCAGTGTTTCCAGGTTTACCGACAGCCAATCCCAGTGCAGCATCTGGTGCTGGAGGATCTTCAGGACGGAGACGTGAGGATGGGCGGTTCCTTCAGAGGAGCGTTCAGCAACTCAGACAAAGGTGAGGCTCGTGACATCATCGACCCGTGAACGAAGAACGATACAGTGGCAACGACCCGATAGAATATCGATATCGTCAATCAAAATATCGCGATATTTCAATGAATCCATATTTTCTATCACCTTTACTTATTGATACATTTTTCCTCGTTTCTTTCGCAGCTAAAAACATCTTCCGGGTTCGATCCCAGGACCCCAGCCCGGCTCAGTCCCACACGCTGCAGGTCAACGACGTCTTCCACAAACAGCAGTGGCTCAACTGCCTACGGAGCGCCATCTCCGTCTACCGCCCCCTCAACGAGCCCGGCACCCCCAGCCCGCCCGCAGC